CTTTGCTATTGGAGCTCAGAGCTATGATACAGATATATCAACTATGAGAAATAAATGAAAGTTGTCACTAGTGTCAGGAGCAAAAACCGGGGTCCATCCCTCACAAATTATGGACATCTGTATTCCTAATTGGCATTCTTCAGGCCTGTGCCAACAGAATGATACTGCCAGGAGAGTCTGACAGCCTTAGGAAAAATGAGGTATCACATTTAGGTGACAGGAGACATTGATGAGGCATGGAAGTTCTTTTGTATGGAACCCTGTCCATATGTTTGTTATCATACTGGTGAATTTTAGTTTCAGGTATCTTCAAATGGCACCTTTTTATCCACCACTAAACTTTGGTACTTTTGAAGGAGATCAGTTTATGATCTCAGGACAAGTGATATTAATGACCATGACCAGAAGAATGCTAGTAAAGATGCATACAAATAGTTAACAAGGTAATGGTAAGAAATGTTGACCTTGATTTGTTTAGCTAAGATGTAAAGATTTTTGAAGGTCAAAGGTGTCCTTGTGTAGTGTTTTGGAGTCTAACTGTGCCTGACCCTCTAACATTTAGCTGCTGTGGCCTGCAGTTTTGAAGAGTGAAGCAAACCAGGGGAAAAGGAGAAGGGGGAGAGAACAGGAAATGGAGAGAGGTGTTTCAGGAAGTTGTCAGGGGTTGACTGATTGATTCCAGATGGAAAGGGTCAGCCTCTGTGACCCAGGAAATACTCACTAGGGGAAAGAAGTTGGCTTGGGGAAGGGGAAGGCCTGGGAGTGAGATGATGTTGGAATGCACATTCCACTTCCTTTCGTCTTAAAACATTCAGAAATTTTAACTTCTCCGAATAGAATAATATCACTGTTGTCATCATTCATCAGAAAACAGTGAAGGAAGTTAAACTCAAAGCGTTGACCGCACCAAAAGTACCTTTACCTCCCTGATGTAGTTTATCCTTCCAGAAGTAGAGGGAATGAGTGTAAAAGTCACAATAGGAACAAGAGCCCAGCATATCTTGTGTACAGTTTGTGAATTAAATCCATCACACTTTGCAAATTCATTTTAATCGGCAGATTCTTTCCACAGCCTAACATATTTGGAATATGAAAAACTATAACTGGCCTCATATCTGTGTCTATACCCGCATGCACATACATTTGGACATAATTTAAAATCTTGTAATAAATTTTGCAGACACTGAAATAATTCAGGTTAATTCCCTTGCTGTCATGAGAGGCCAGTGCTAGCCAGCAAGAGATTAAAATTTATTTCCATTGTTAATAGAAAATAATGAAGTGCATCTGAACCAGCAGGGTATGTCATTCGGGAAATGTTCACTTTGGAACTGAGTCTCACTCCACCCAAATGGACAATGATGAAATCCACTGGCTCGTGAAAGCCCCATATTTTGTGGCAGGAATGCGCGAGGGACATTAATGAACAATAAGACAAGAAACTTGTGGAATGAATTAGAGTGGTCTCTGAGTGGATGCTCCTTACATACACATTAGCTCAGATGGGACTGAGGCTCCCTTCAGTGTGCTAGGGCAACTTTTTAAATATTAAAGTCTGAAACACTCTCTTGTTGTCATTTGGGACTTTTGCTTTCCAGAGATGACAGCCATATCTTTGAAGATGCATTTGTTAGCGTGGCTGACTCCTCTTTTTCCTTCTCTTTATCCTATTATTTCAGAGGGTAACCATGAACACAGGTGATGGTTTTTAACCTCCATGGTTACCTAAGCCCTGTGACCATGAGGTGCATTCACTCCCTTTGGCTGTGACGTGATCTTGCATTTGCTGAGATAACGCTGATAGGAACTTGTGCCTGGTGTGCTTGCTGAGAGTGATGGATGTCTCCGTTTTATGGCTGCCACCATATGATAGGAACTATCCAGCAGGACTTCTCTCGGAAGCTAACCTGTTAACACAGACACAATTGAAAACAGACCCAGAGCTAGACTGGATGCATCCATGAGTTTTGAGCAATGATATGGGTGATAATTTTCTGAATGACAACGGAGGTTCCTTTAATTTTATTCCTTGAGTCCCCAGGGCCTGTCATAATTCCTGACATGTAGTAGGAACTCAGTGAAAATCTGTTGAGTTTAATGATTGAAACTCACTGATCTTGCATCATACCCATGGAGGAAGGCTGTAGGAAATGATCTGTAGACTCCTGGATCTTAGGAATTCTCTTGAGCCTATTACATTACAAATGTTAAAAAATGTCAAAAGATATCATCTAAAACTCTGTTTAGGGTAAATAGGAAAAAAAGAAGAAAGAGGAAGGAAGGGAAAGGGAGGGAAGAAAGGGAGGGACAGAAGGAGGGAAGTAAAGAAGAAAGGAAGGAGGGAAGGAAAGAAGGAGGGAGGGAAGAAAGGAAGGGAAGGAAGAAGGGAAGGAAGGGAAAAGAAGAAAGAAAGAGAAAGAAAGGAAGGAAGAAAGGGAGGGATGGAAGGAGGCAAGTAAAGAAGGAAGGAAGGAGGGAGGGAAGGAAGGAAAGGAAAGAAAAAGAGGAAGGGAGAGAAGAAAGGGAGGGACAGGCAGAGGGAAGGAAGGAAGGAGGGAGGGAAGGAAGGAAAGGAAAGAAAAAGAGGAAGGGAGAGAAGAAAGGGAGGGACAGGCAGAGGGAAGGAAGGAAGGAGAGAGGGAAAGGAGGGAAGGAAGGGAGAATGAAAGAAGAAAGGGCAGAAAGGAACAGAAAGAGGGAAGTAAAGAAGGAAGGAAGGAAGGAGGGATGGAAGGAAGGGAAGGAAAGAAGGAGGGAGGGAAGAAAGGAAAGGAAAGAAAAAGAGAGGAGGGGAGAGACAAAGGGAGGGACAGACCGAGGGAAGGAAGGAAGGAAGGAGGGAGGGAGGGAAGGAAGGGAACGAAAGAAGGAGGGAGGGAAGGAAAGAAGAAAGAAAAGGGAAGAAAGGAACAGAAGGAGGGAAGTAAAGAAGGAAGGGAGGAGGGAAGGAAGAAAGAAAGAAAAGAGGGAAGAAAGGAACGGAAAGAGGGAAGTAAAGAAGGAAGGGAGGAGGGAAGGAAGAAAGAAAGAAAAGAGGGAAGAAAGGAACAGAAGGAGGGAAGTAAAGAAGGAAGGGAGGAGGGAAGGAAGGAAGGGAAGGAAAGAAAGAGGGAAGTAAAGAATGAAGGGAGGAGGGAGGGAGGGAAGGAAGGAAAAGAAAGGAAGGGAGAGAAGGGAGGGACAGACAGAGGGAAGGAAGGAAGGAGGGAGGGAAGGAGGGAAAGAGAGGGGAAGGAAGGAGAGTGTTGTGTTCTGTGTGGGGGTAGGATTGACTGGGAAAGAACAGAAGACAACTTTCTGGAGAGAGAAAATATTCCTATCATGAGAGTGGTATAAATTGTGCAGCTAAGTCTCATGCATTTCAGTGCGTGCAAATTGTACCTAAAAAGCAAAACAGACCTGTGGTCATAGACTAGGAGGTGAAGAGAGAGTGGTTGTATAGATGACATGAGAATAGCAATATTTGGACAATTCTTGAAACTGGATGACGGATACTAGGGACTCATTATGCTGTTCCATTTGTTTTGTTTGCTTAAAATTATTCATAATAAGAAGTTTTGAAAATGCCATTGAATTCTTTCTTATTGAGAGGTAAAGCAGGGTCAAGTCCCTCACCCTCCTCTGTCATTTAATAAGCAAGGAAGGGGTGGCACGGCAATTACAAGTAGGAAATCGACAAATTGCATGTGGAGAGTAGTCAGGGTGAGTCACTTTGAACATGTCTCCCCATTAAGGATCTATTCATGCCCTTCCTCAAAAGGTCCATACACACGCATGGCACGCATATAACAAGTTCTGTCTTAAAAAATAAAGTTGCCATGCCTAACTGACATGAACTGAGTCGTATCTTCCCACGTGGGATGGCTCATCCATCGTCTTGGGTCAAGGTCATGGGTGGTAGGCATAGAACTCAATTTGATGCCATCTGTTTGCTGCTTGTTGCTTATGTTAGCTATCATTCCTCAGTCTACATAAACTCTCTGAGGGTAGAGATCATGCCTTGTAACTTCTGTGGCCTAGCCCCAATGTCCCCCTTTCTAGAACCTTCCCCAGATCTTACACCCTGGGAGAATGTCACTGGGCAATGTCTTGTATCTTTCTGATTGGTCAAACGGGCAGGGGTGAAGCATCTTGGGCTTGAATTTACCCTAATTTGGCATGTGGGAGTGCTGTGCTCAGTGCTGTGTGCATGTTATCTCACTCAGACCTGAGGGTTAGGCAGAACCGTTTATGTTTTACAGATAAGAAAAGCTGAGATTCAAAAATGTTCAGTAATTTGTCCAAGGTTTTAAGTTAAAAAGTGGCAGTTTGGGATTGGGAGCAGTTCTGAATCCAAATCCCTGCCCTTCCACTACTCCACACCCTCCTCTCCTTTTCCTCCAGCTAGATAGTAAATATTCTGTGCTGCCAGCCCTGAATTCTGGGAATCGTATCTTCTCTCCAACAGTTTGAGCATCTTTGCTGCTGTTCCCTAGTGGGCAGGGATGCCAAAGACAACGGGTCCAGCATCCTGACGGGTAACATGATTTTAGGCCACTTTTGAAGTGCAGGAACCCATTCCTCAATTTGGAGAAGTGACCTTCCAGCAGGCCATTACACCCTGGTTTCCAGATGGCACACAGTGAGCACGCTGTGACTGCAGCTCTCAAGGCCCTGCTGGGAATTATGGTCCAGCTCTTTGATAGAGAATGAGGTTTCTGGAACCAGCAGGCAGAGGGCCAATTTTCCAACCTCATGACACAGAGTTTGAACACAAATACATGACAACACATTGGTCAAGGGCTGCCTCTCTCTCTCTCTTTTTTTTTTTCTTTCCATGAAGTTCTTCCATAATTATCAGAGGGGGAAAGCCTGTTGAGTTGTTAGAACAAGACCCGTTCCCAGACTCTGTCCTGTCTCTTATTTGTCCTGTGGAAGTGTAGCAGAATTCTGGTACATTTACTACTTTGTGTAAAGCCAACCCATGACCATTGTCCCCCCCCTTTTAATTTTAAATACAGGTTGTATTGTCAACCACGGTGAATGTGGACGGACATGTGCTGGCTGTTTCCGACAACATGTTTGTTCATAATAACTCCAAGCATGGAAGGAGGGCGAGAAGGCTCGACCCGTCGGAAGGTAGGGCTGTCGGGGCCAAGCATGGTAGATGCATGAAGTTTTCCTCAAACTTCCTTGTTTGAATTTCAAATTTATGTCTCAGAGTCAACCTGGAGAAAGTCCACAAAACCATGTGGGTTTTTAAGTGCAGTTGTAAACACTGACTGCAGCCCTCACCGTCACAAGCCACTCAGCTCCCAGCCAGGGCTCCATTCCCCATGTCTCCCCTTCTTCTCCATTCATCTGTGTTTTTCTTTTTGCAAGACGGGCATTTCAGGCAAATGCAGGCCTATGACATCTTAGTTAAACAGGAACGTTACAGTGCCAGACATGTATGAATAAGTGTCAGATGTGCCCTTAAACAGATTGTGGGCAAAACAAAACAATGTGCAGAATGAAACTGACACTAATTGATTTTTGTTTGCTTGGACAAGAAGAACTCCTGGGCGGCTCTGGGTAGTTTTCCAAGTGCATTAAAATAATTAGAAATACCGGTAACTGTTAAACTTCAAGTTGTCTAAAAAATTAAAGTATATCGATGAACATAACTGACAAACCTAAGTGAATTCCACCTCACTCGCTCCCCTTCCTTCCTCACTCCCTAGCTCACCAATGTAAGGAGATCTTATAATACTGATGAATGGCCAGGTTAGGCTACTATTTTAGTGTGGTGTTTGGCTATATACTGCCTCCCAACCCCCACACAAACTTGGCCCTTAAATGTATCTTGTATCATTTTAAATAGGAATTAATGAACTGAAAGAAAATGATTGAATCAGTAAAGAATTTGGAGTGGTGTTAATTCTCCCACAGTGGGCACTGAAAGGAGAGAAGAAAATCCCAGAGTTCAGAGCTAGGAGCCCCTTGAGTTTCTTTTGACTGATTGGATGTGATTGACTGGCTGTTCAAAGGGGGCTCATGTTTTTGGAGTCCTGCCAAAATTCTCCTCCACCTTTGACCTTGTCAACTTTGGAAATGGAGTGATGGATTGACTTTAGTTATGGCTTGAAAACCATACTGGATTCCTGTTGGGATGTAAAGTCCAGAGGTCTCGAACATATGGAAGAAGGGAAGAAAATCCTTCCTACAAAGAGCAGAGTGGTTAGAAATTGTCTCTTGATAAAGCTGAAAAAAATCCTTCAACTACCATAACTTTGCCTTTTTTCTTCTCTCTCCAGCATATTAACTGGCCTTGTAAATCTTAACATTGTGGGGCAGAGGAGGGGGGGAGAGAAAAGGGATTTACACTTTTCTAGTGTGATCCTCTTATAAAAATATGGGCAAAAACAACAGAGTTTTAAAAGCACGTTTGCACAATTAGCTAAGTGTTTCACTTTTTCATATATAATGGTCAACTCATTAGGTTTTAATGACCTGGTAAAAACCAACAACCAATTAGGGAAGGATGGCAAGTCAACAAAGCTCAATCTGAACTTCTTGGAATGACCAACAGCTTTCCAAGACAGCTCGTTCCCCACACTCCAAACGTTAGCCGCCCAAAGACAGAGCTGACTTTTCCTCTCCTGTCTTTTTAGCTACCCCCTGCATCAAAGCCATCAGTCCAAGTGAAGGTTGGACCACAGGTGGAGCCATGGTCATCATCATTGGTGACAACTTCTTTGATGGACTCCAAGTGGTGTTTGGCACCATGCTTGTGTGGAGTGAGGTAGGCAAAGGCAACTTGCTTTCCTGATCTTCTTTGGTCCAAAGGTTGTTTTGGTCTGGGGAATCTAGTAATTCATAGAATAGTAGCATGAACACATAGTACTGAGTACTTAGTATGCAGGGTACCAAGGATTATAAGACTTGGAAGTCAGACCATTGTAGGAGCAGACTCCTTAAAAAGACAAAGATCTATTGCAGGATTAGGTAAAATTGTGAAAAATTAGAGCCTAGATTGTATTATAGGAGGATGGTGAGAAATGTGACGGAATACCACCCCACCACTGAAAGTTACATCTTGGGAAAATTCTAACGATGCGAGAGAAGGGCTGTGATTGTCCTAGAATGCTAAGTGGGAAAAACTCAGGACAATAGTCCTGCGTAAGTATAATCTAATTCTGCGACATACAAGCATAGAAATGGACTGGAAACACACCAAGTAGTAATGTTGGTTATCTCTGGGTTGTACAATGTTACCTTTCTTTACATATTTCTGTGATTTCCCAGTTTTCTGAATTGGATATGTTTTACTTTTATAATCAGATAAACAACAGAGCACATTACAAAAAGATTAGCGATGGTGCTGAGTTGGGCTTGGAAATTTCCAGATCAATCTGTGGGGCTGAAAGCAGTGTGCTGTGGTGGCTTGTCTAACGGTTATTTCATCCCCTGCCATTTCCTCCTCAGCTTATAACCCCTCATGCCATCAGAGTGCAGACGCCTCCCCGGCATATCCCTGGAGTCGTGGAAGTGACATTATCTTACAAATCCAAACAGTTCTGCAAAGGAGCCCCTGGAAGGTTCATTTACACAGGTTGGTGAGAAAATGTTTGCAAGGGAGGCTGGCTCCTGGTTCACCTTTGCTCTACTTCCCAGCCTCTCTGCTTTCTAATCAGTCTAACATTTCTAGTCTATTCGTGTAAGAAGAGTGGACTGAGTGATAGCCAATAAGTGAGGAAGAATAGACTCAATTCTAAATTTGTGCTTGACTTAGGCAACTTCTGCATGGTGTGAAAGATGGCTGTGGCAACTCATTTCAGGAATACACCCTTACAAATTTAAGAGGGTTGGAATCACTCTGTAATAGGCTTTAATTCAAGCAATCAGATTAAAACAATCAAAGGAAGTTGGTGGTAAGTAAATTTTCTTGAAAATGACTCAAGAAAGTTGCCCCAATATGTTGCAGAGTGATGCAAAGTATTTTAAAACTTTATGCAAACCTGGTGGTGGCTCACGCCTGTAATCCTAGCTACTCAGGAGGTAGAGATCAGGAGGATTATGGTTCGAAGCCACCCAAAAAAAACCCATCACAAAAAAAAGGGCTGGTAGAGTGGCTCAAGGTATAGCCCCTGAGTTCAGGCACCAGTACCACACAAAAACTTTATCCTAGGAAATCATTTAATAGTGCACAATTTACTGAATGTCTGCTTTGAGTTATTGCCTACTTTGAATTTCTCAAATGCCTACTTTTTTCTAGATGATATATAAAACATGGTTCCTTCCCTGTTTGGAAGTTTAGCAACTTTTGTAGGAGACAATGGAATATTGCACAGAGCAGCTGGAGAATTTACAATTGAGAATTCAGACTAGACTAGAGTAGCAGGGTGGGGTGTCCAGGAGGAGAAGCAAATTGAAGACCGTATTTCAGGATGAGGAGGACTTGGAGCGACAAAGAGTTGAAGGAGGAATGTTCTAGCTGTAGGAATTCCATGGGTACGGCCAACAGGGTAAGGTGAGGCGGTGCTGGAGGCTGGTTCAGCACCTGGGTCCACGTGCTTTGGAAAACTTAGACTAGCTCTTAGTGTACATGAGGTAGAAAGGGGAGGGAAGGAAACCGCAAGACAGCTTAAAAGCTATGCGTGGTACCTAGGGGAGTCAGATTCACAGGTTCCCAGGGGTGGGCTGGGGAAGAATGGGTAGCTATTGCTTCATGAATACAGAGCTTCCATTTTGCAAGATGGAATGTGTTCTCCAGATTGGTCACACCACATTGGGAATACACTTAGCACTCCTGCTCTGTGCGCTTACAAGTGGTGAAGATGGTAAATTTTATCTTGCATATATTTTACTCCAGTTTTGTTTAGTGAGGAGAAGAGAACTCTTGTAAGGAGGAAGAACTGAGGGTCTCAGCAAGAGAGAGTGCGTCCAAGGTGTTATCCTAGGAGAAGAAGTTCCACTGATAGAAAGACTGATGGGAAAACAGTGGAAGGCAGGAGGTCGATAAATACTGTACTGTGAAAGAGCAAATAGGGGATATAGAGGAAGGGAAAAGGTAAGGCAAGCAGTACGTCAGGCCTATTGTGAATGTTCAGCAATGTTGTTTTGTATAAGATCTGTCTCTCATTCGCACCCAGTCTCATCTCTTGTTGAAGTGTGCATGCCTGGTTATGTATCAATGGGCGCAGATGGAAGGGGTGATTTTTAGGTATAGTTCTTTAGATTTTTGCTTTTGAATTAGCCTTCCAAAGATAAATACATTTCAGATGTTATTTTTTGTGGGTGAAAGATTCTATGGCAGCCACAATTTAAAAAAAAAAGTTACTGTTCTAGCTCCCACAGGAGCACAGCTCTTTACTCATCCAAGGAGGTATTTATTACATTCCTTCCATGGGGTGGCACAACTCTATTCTCTGAGACATGGAAAGGAATGAAGTAAAGTACCCCCCCAACTTATTGAAATTTACATGCTGGGGGAAGACAGTAGTGAGAAGTGAAGGAAGGAGAACGAGGGCGGGCCTCAGGCAGAGTGGGGTCTCTGTGAGGAGAGAGGCGGGTCACAGGAAGGGGCCAGCCATGGAAGCCTGTCCTCCTCTCCTTGTCTCTTTGCCCTCTTCTCAGGCCCATGCACATTGACTTCTCTCCATTCCGGGAGCTCCTCAGGACTGTGCTTCTGTGAGGGTCACTGGTGTTGGAACAGAAGCTGGTAGTCCATGACTGTGAGCAGGGACATCCCCAACAGGCAGCACAGCAGCATGACAGACTGACAAGAGGGCAGGAACCTGGTGGCATCAGGAAGAGCAGGAATGCCAGTGGAGAGGATGAAGAGGAGGGTGGTGGCAGGTAGAGCAGCAAGACAGGTATGGCATCGAGACAGGAGGTAAAGCTACAGGGCTGGATAGCCTCACCATGGAAGAGAAGGTAGCTACAGGATGGAAGAAGGCTAAAGATGGGAGAACTGATAGTTGAGCGCAGGATGACAAGAATGAACCTGAGAAGGGGACTGAGGAGGAATGGCCAGGGTAAGAGGAAACCAGGAGTACAGAGGGCCTCAGATGTAAAGTGAAGACTGGGTTATCCTGCAGAGCACTTTCCACCTGTACGGCATTGCTAGTATTTCTTAGACACCCCCTGGACCTGGATGGTGGGTCTGGCCTGGAAGGAGAAAGCAGGTTTAATAACAAGCCCATTGCAACCAATGCTGTATAGAAGTTAGGATTGTCCTCAGTTCTCAGTGGAACTATAGACATTTGGAGCCAGGTGTTGTGTGCACGTGTGTGCACGTGTGTACATGTCCTCTGGAAGCAAAAGTTCCCATCGTTGGCTACATTTTTAATCCCCAACCTAGACCAGACCTCAGTCTAATTAGAGACAATCTTTGAATGTGTGATTTGCATATTCATTGAACAAAAATGTGCTTAAAGTTATGCTCAAGGAAGAAAACCAATGATACCAACATTCTGCAGCATTCTACAGTCCTCGAAGAGGAGAAAGCTACTTTTGGACTATACTAATTAGGTTGTCTCATAAAAGATCTAACAGGAAAAAAGGGTTGTGGGGGATATTGAACAGGGGTGACTCACCTGGGGGAATTGAAGCAAGCTTCCTACAGGAGGTGACAATACAGGGACATTTGAAAGCAAAGGAGGAATTTTCCAGACAGAAAGGAGGAGGCTGGGGGTCGTAGTTCTTGGAAACAGTACCTCATGAAAGAACCCATGTAACCATGAAATCATAGATGCATGCTGCATGTCTGCATATTAGTCTCAGCAGTAACTGTCCCCTCTGTGCTGAGGCGTGGTTGTGCTGTGTGGTTACTTATGTGCTGGGACATTACTGGCATTTTGGTGACACATGTATGTATCGAGCACTCACAATGTGCTGTGCCAGGGAAGTGGGGACACATCAGATCCGTGGGGCCTTACCTTCCAAGATGTTGCTGTATTATGATATAAAGGTGAGCTGCTCGTACTTGGGACTCAGAGCTTTTCCCCACCTCATATGGGCTATCCACTTCTCAGAGCCCAGAGGACTATGGGACAGTGTGTCGCAATGACGGTGAGCTGGTCAAGGTCTAGCAACTGGCTCTCCAGGAAAAAAGCAGTTAAAAAAAAAAAAGTGAGTTTGCAGCATTTACTCATTTCCATGGTGAAGTGCTCATGTCACGTGATTTCAGGCTATTGTGTGACATTGACCTGCTCACCAAGTTCCAGAACATTTAGCCTCCTGCTCTCACAAGCTGGTTAGGTCAGGTCTTGCACACCGCTGCGTGCACAGCACTTGCGATAGGGAGCAGAGAGCGTGAGCCACACCTCACTGTTCACAAAGTGTTGGGGACCAGTGTTACTTTTACTATTGCTATTACTTTTGCTGTTATCATCCCAGACGCTGACTTGAACAAGGAATTGCAGCTGCGACGAGTACTAAAAAAGGAATTGTGTACGATGCTGGGAATTCATGCTAGGGGGATCGAGTCTTTTTTGAGACAGGGTCTCACTGGGTAACCCAAACTAGACTTAAACTCATGATCCTCCTATCTCAGCCTCCCAAGTGGTAGGGTGAGTCAAATCTTCTTAAACTGAGGGATGGAGAGAATTTAGAACAGTTGAGACAGAGGAGACGATACATGCAAAGGCCCTGGGGTAGAAAAGAGCATGTTTTAGATTTGGCAGTCACTATAAACAAGGCAGAAAATATCAGTTAAACAGAGCTGGAAGGGAGGCCAAGGGCCAAGCCTCATCAGGCCCCCTTTCTCAGCTCCTCCCCAAGTGCCATGGGAGCTATTGGAATATCATCAAGATCAGATTTGCCTTTTAAAGGGTGATTCTGGCTGCAGTGCAGAGAATGGCTTGGAAGCCAGGGTGGGTGCAGAGAGGTCAGTTGGAGGGCAGTGTGGTGGCCCAGCACAGAAATGACAGCAGCGTGGACTGGAGTGCTGGTGGTGGGGACAGGCAGAAGGGGATGAAATTTAGGAGGTAGCACTGACGGGCCTTGATGATTGATTGGATGGGGTGAAGGTTGGGGAGGGGAGGGAGAAGGACGATGCTCAGGTTTCAGGCTTGAAAAATTGGGTGGGTATGGCTTGGAAAGTGATTTTTTTTTAAAGGTATAAAGTGCTGAGGGAGTTCAGAGGAAGGGCAAAATACTTCCAGCTGGCGGAGAGGTGGGAAGATTTAATATTGTAAAGATGTCGATTAATGAATAAATTTAACATGATGCCAATCAAATACCAACCAAATGTTTGGGGAAGCTTCACTAAGTTCACCTGAAAAGGTGCTAAAATAGCAGAACCCCTGAATTTGAAAAACGAGAGGGTCTTGCCCTTCCAGACATTAAAACCTATTTTAAGTTTCAATAATTAAAAGAATATGGGGCTTTGCAGGAACTCATGGAAATGTCATACAACAGGAGAGAAAATCTAAAAATAAGCCTTTCTGCACACAGAGAGCGTGTAAAAACCCGAGTTGCGCGCAGCGAGGAGCCGTCCCAGGTCAGGGCGGAAAAGACACAAGTTGTGGACCCGCCTGTTACAGAGCAGCTAGAAGATAAAGATTTCTAATTTGACATCATAAACCTAGATAGACTCAAATGACGTGT